CCCTCACACAACAGGGAGGAAATATGATTTGGACAACCCAAAGTGATTTGGGTAAGACAGTACAGAAATCATTTACATTTGGATAGGAATAATTTAAACATCTTCTACCAAATGGTTACATAATCACTCCTTTTTAATTTTGTTTTTTGGGTTTAGGTCAATGTTAAAAGCTTAAAAATTAAACCGTTAAAACATTAAGAGGTGAAAGATTTGTTGCTAGCAGTATTCATTGCTTGCGCTTTATTAGCACTTATAACCAGGTAATTGTTTTAAGCTCTTTATAAATATTTCCTCAGTCTTCACAACAACTATGAGGTGGCTACTATTGTTTTTCTTATTTTAGTTGAGGAAACTTGGGCACAGAGTGGTTAATTAAATTACTCAAAGTCACAGAGTCAGGAAATTGTAGATATAATGATATTCAAGCCTAGGCAGTTGGTTCTGAAGCCTAAAGTCTTAGTTGTAATTTACTATAGCAAGCGCAGCTGTAAATTAGGGATAAATAAATAAGCTATAAATAAGTGTTAGAGACATCAGCTAAGTTGCTCCAAGTTGCACAGTTCATAAGACAAGCCACTGTTGCCAGTCCAGATCTGTGATTCTCTTAGGCTGGGCTTCTTTCATTACAGCCTTGGTCTTAAGAAGAACTACATTCATTTAATAGGATAAAAGAAAGCTGAGGCTCATTGCATTCACTTGTTTCCTAAGGAAAGCTTTGCCAGAGGACTAGGTGTTCCTGCTCCCAAGGTGAAAGGCTGGGTGGGAGGAGAGCAAGGACAAGGCGTGCCTCACTGTGCATCAGCATTTCCCTGAATAGGGGTGAGTTCCCCCTTTTCTTTTCTTACTTCAATCATTTTTGTTTGTCTACATCTTGAAGATTATCTCATTCCTCATGCCTCCTAACAGCCATTTTCCACAGATATTTTCTTTGCCAACACTTTCTAAATAACTAATGACCAACGAACAGTCCAGTAGCACTCGTAGGAAATGTCAAGGCTGCATTTCACAAAGACGTCCACAATCACATTTTCTGTTTAGTGATTCTAACACATCTCAACCTCCAGCAACACCAGGACTGCTGACATCTCTTCAGAAGACTGAGCTGGTCATTGGTCCTTGTGCCTTCTTTCACTCCAGTCCTTTCATGTCCCTGTCTCTTTGAGCAGAATAATTTTGCTGAGTAAGAGATTTCCTCCTCTGTGCAATAGGATATGATTAAATGAGCCAATGGCTCTGGAATGAGCTGCTGAGGGGAGCTATCTCTGTCCTTAACCCCATCCCCTCATGGCTAGAGTCCCTTCCCCAGGCAAAAACTGAAGTCAAAAAATCAACCAACAACACAATAAATTATTGATCTCCAACTTGTGTTTCTAATTCAAATAAATGACTTTAACCTCTGTGAATGTTGCATGTGATTGAAGTACTTGATGTGAACATTTGAAGGTTTTTGATAATATTCTGGAAAGCCATTTTCACAGTGACTAAGTCTCCTGAGACTCTCTCTGTCTCAAGTTCACGTTGCTTAGAGAGTGATTAAGGATGTTTTATAGTCCCTGGTGGTAAATAATAGCAGTGGAGAAAAAAAGCATTCTTTGGCTATGTAATTTAGGAAGACAACCTGGGTTATTATCCATCAGGCATGCTGAAATATTTAAAATAATTAATCCATTTCTCTGCAGCCTGGGGAGTCTTCAAAGCTTCCATCCACAGCCTATGATGAGTTTCAACAGGTACAGATTGCCTTATTTATTTAGAAGACTATCAAGCTCCATCCAGCTTTCCTTCCATGGGTGAGGGACAGACTCTTGACATGGTATCCTTTTACTTTTCAGTATTCATAAATCAATGAGACCAAACAGCAAAAGACAATAGGTTATATTTTTATCAGTGTATGTATCTTATTTTCCTTGTTAACTACCCCACAACTGAGAATTTATGGAAGTTCAAAGGGTGCTTTCAAGTTCAAGGATATTGAACTTTGGGTGTGTTAAACTAAGCCTCCGAACTCTGCCCAAATGATCCTAAACTGCAGGCGTGGACATTCTCAAAGAAGGGCCTTTGGGACGGCATCATGAGGCCAAAGGCAATAGGCCTTAGAGCTTAATCTTAAGCTCCAACCACAGAGTTCTAAGAGGACTCTACTAAGCTGCTTTAGTGAACCAAGAATAGTAAAAGAAGCAGTTGGGAAGTTCAGATTTTTCTTCCAAAAGTTTCAAAACAATGCAGCCTAACAATGGTTTCCCAGTGACACTATAAATGTGTCTTTTTCGGAAAATGCCCTGCTTGGAGCCTTGCTTATTCTCTGCTCACAGATTCATCCAAAGTGACTCTCAGGTACTAGATTTTGTTTTTATAAACCTCATATCCAGGAGAATCTTAGAATTTGCCAATTTCTCTGCTGCGTGATCTGTTTGTGTACTCCGGGTGACCCCCACTTGCATTTTGCATGTGGTAATTGGATTTTGTTTTCCTAAAAATTGGTCATGCAGCTCCTTTAAAAGTGAAAATGAGAGAGAGAAAGAGGCCACGCTGACTTTAGAGGGAAGGCAAGGCTTTGTGATTTAGAAGACTACGGTGTAGGTGTGAAGGTTCTAGAACTCTTCAGGTGAACCTTACCTTAAGAAACACAGGAAAGACATTCATAATAACAGCATCCAGGCCTGTCATGGATGAGACTAATAGAATATTTTAAGCTGGGTAGAATTTGGAGACTCAGCATCTACACAGGAGTGGTCTAGAGAATCCTCTATACACATATCTCAGCCTTCAACTCGAAAATGAAAAAATAGGAATATTCGCAGTAAGGATTTAAGTTCCTAGTGTGATTGTAATGTCCCCTCAAATGATCTAAATTGATGTATCTGATCTGGCTGGAGTCTCCTGAGATGCCATGAGCAGAGATTCTTTGTTTTTGTTTTTGTTTTTGTTTTTATTCCCCAAGTATTTCCAGGCTTGCTTTACCTGCAGCCTGGTTTGATTTCAGATCATTAGTCCTAGGGAAAGTCCCTTTAAAGCAGTGAATACCTATAATTCTTCTGTAGAGAAGGAAGAAGATAAAGGACAGCCCACAGCAGGCCTGATCAATCCTTTAATGAAGGTCTCCCAGCCACCACCGGTACCTAGAGGGATTTATAGACCCGAAGCAATTCCTTTGTGTTTGTTTTACAGTAAAAGTGGCATTTTCTCAACTCCCCAGAAAAATAGGTTGCTTCCATAGTGACTGAGCCCATCAAATTTCATGTGCAAGTTGCAGTTAAACTGTACATCATTTTTTTCTTGCCAGCCTTGTTTTCTAGGCAATTGCTTCTGACATGTTGCTCACAGGGTCAGTTTGAGAACACATTCATTTTCACTCATGCAGAAGTCTGGAGATGCGTAATCCAGGGGTGCAGTTTCCCCTGTCTTTCCATTTCCCCCTATAGGAATTGTCCTTGATGTACCCTCTCACACCAGAGGTCAAATCTCAGGTCCAAATGAGGAGAACATGAACAGACAGTAATAGATTTGTGTCAGCTAAGTCAGCCCTGATCGAAGAGCTTTTTAAAAAAACCCTGTGCAGAGGTTCCTGCTGACACTATGTGGGTCGAAACAATGCCACTTCGCCTCACTTCACCCCCACTCACAGGGGAAATGGGGAGCACAGGTGAAATTTTTATTTTTTAAATTTGAGCACACTGCCGTCTGAGGAATTTGTTAAAAAGAACTGGACATTTGATGAAAAGGGAATTTGCAATACACATCTCATTGTCTTGTTGTGGGGACAAAGTGTATCTTGGCCAAACACCTAATAGCGCTTAGTGACTTGATGTTGCAGGGAAACAGTTTTCCCTTCACTCTGGGCTTATTCACTTCCCCATAGCCCTGTTCACAGCCCACAGCACACTGTGGAGCAAAGCCGTCATGCCACAATCTATATGCCATGTAATTCACTCCAGTGAATAATTTCATAATCACGGAAAAAATAGATGGCATAAGAGAAAAAATATTCTACTACATCCCATCCTCAATGGATCTTTTAAAACTAGAAATGTCCCTAGGCACACAGCCTTTGTGTAATGCTTACAGAAGCAACTAATTGTTATTTCAGATATAGCTCTTCTACAAGCTGTTAAAACCATAAAAATGGTTAACAATGCTGCCTGTGTTCTAAATATATGAGGCAGAGTTCTTCTTCTCAGCTAATAGGATTTACACTGCAGAGAATAAACGTATATGCACACACTTTTTGGATTAAGATCTTTATTATTAAGTAACTCATTGGGGGTTTCAAGGTATGTTATAAATTTATACCAGAAATTTAAAGATAAATACTCCACATGAATGCTAATTTTACACTCCGTTCCATATACAGGGATCTGCTTGTGGAGGCATGTAGCTCTATAGAATGCATTTAATTGGCTATCAATGCCTACATTCTTATGTGGTCAGGCCAGGTAACATGGATAGACACCGGCCAGGAGGCAAAGCACAGTGAAATGAAACTAATGTGAGTTGAATGGACTAAAAAGAGGGATAAAACCCTTTTTAATTGTTGTGCTGGTGATTGTACGCTACGCTGAAGACTGTAACTCTCATTTTCTCAACTGATTGCTGCTACAAAATCTAAATCTATAAAGTATGTGTGATTTAAAAATGGAATTTACATTACTGAAGCAAGACAGAAACAAAGTGCATTACTAGTATTCTAAAATTAAGGTTCTGGACAATTTTGCAACCTATGACCTGAACAAACTTCTTATTCATAAAACAATAAAAAGGAGAGATTTGCACATGTTCCTTTAAAAATTAGCAGTACAGCTCTTCGGTAAAAGATAAAACGAAAAGAAAGAAAGTTGAAGGGAGGGAGGGAGGGAGAAGATAAAGAAGAAAATAAAAGAAAAGCAATTTACATACTTATGTGTACTTTACTTGGTAATCTTGGATTAGATCATTTTGTTCAGTTTATTTGTTTGGTTCAGTTGAGAAAGACAGAGGCGGGGGGAGAGGCTGGCTTTTACAAAAAAAGCAGAATTGTGTGTATGTGTATTTTAAATAAAATAAGCAAACAAAAACTGCAACATAAACTTATTGCCAGCTCAGTGACAGCAGAAAAGCACACAAAAAATTCCAAATCTAGCTAATAACTGCTATTTATAAAGCTTAAAGTAACTCTTCACTCATATGTGATTGGGTTTGTGCTTAAACATGGTCAAACATCTTGTAAGCTGGAAATAGAAAATAAAAATTTATCTCATGTCCTAAAATTAAGCACACCCATAGCATTCAAATTACTCATTTAATCACCTTAATTGTATCATATTTCACAAAACAATCCAATTGATCCAAGTTCAACAAGTTTCTTAAAATCTACAATTTGAGTCATTTATGTCTATATAAAGGGACGAAGAAAGGAGGCATAAATAACTGCTTCTGAGCATAAATAATTCCCTCCTTCTTCCCCAACCATTCTCAGGTAGAGTGCTCTAACCCTTATATAGCACACAGCATTGCAACCTTTTAGGACACAGGTAAACAATATTTCTTCTTCAGTGGGCTGAAGATGTTTCCAGTTGCTATCCATCCCCTCAACCCACGTGTATGATTCTGTCTTTGTACCATGTCCTTCAGAAAAGTGGGAGGTTGACACAGGAATTCAGAAAGGTCATGATCTTATTTCTGTTCCCCATTTGTTGGAGTCAAGGAAGATATTTAAGAGAAAAATATTGTAGTAAATAATGATGTTAATTTTTCTTCTGCCATGATTTAGCAAAAAGAAATGCTTCTAGCACTGACTAATCATTAATCATTACCAGAACAAATGGCAGTGGAAGAATTCTCTGAATTGGTGGGATTATCAATTTCACAACCACTATGCTTGTTAATAACAAGAAACTTTAAGAGGCAATATAGTGACTCACAACCTATTGGTGTCACAGCTTCATGTCTCAATGTTACAGTGATAAATGTATACTTTGCATGTCTTGATTAGATGCTTTTTATAAGAAATTACTATCTATTTTCAATTTTTATAGACTTTAAAACTTGTAATTTATCCTAGCTTACCAGTCTTCCTATTTTTTTTTAATTTCAGCATCTTGCCTTTACCTCTTACTACTGAATATCACATTTCTAATTGAAGACACCAGGATATAAGCGAATAAAAGATGAAGTTTAATCAACCAGACTTCTTAATAGCATTCCTAACACAAAATTTTCTAGCAAAAATTTTTAATAATAAAAAACTATGGAAAATGTAGATTATCCTTTACCAAGTTTATCCTATTCTACTTACTGCCATCATCATACAACATAGGCATATTACTTTTAAAAGGCATCGTTTCAACTACTTGCCTTAAGATGATTGGCTGGAAGGTAACTAGATCAAGTGCTAGCCCTCCTCGATCTGGGATTACATCTGGGATTCCATAGAAATTCTACGTAAAGTCAGGAAAGCTTTCTGATAAGGTGGATCCTTATACTCATCAGTGACAGAAGTGGCATTCTCCTCAGGGTTTTCACAGCTACTGACAATGGCAACTGCACTAAATGATCCATTGGTGTCTGATGTGCAGGATCCTCGGACTGGGGATGCTTTCTCCATATTGTGGAGCTGCTGGTCTTTCCAGTCCAATTGTTTGGCACTGCAAAAGGGGGCATACACTTCCACACTTCCCTCAAACTGTAAGCAGTTCACTTTGTAATACTTTCTCTTTACTTCCAAGATATCATTAAATCTGTGGCCCCAGAGGATCTCCCGGGGGACATAAGAACTTCTAGACTGGTGAGATGTCCCAGTAGAATCACCAGTATAGATAAATGTCACCAAAATCTCAAAATTATCTTTGGCCACTGCTTTTCGGTCAAGGGCATACAGAGGACTCTCACAGTCAATTTCATGAATGACAGTGACTGGTGTCACCAAAATGATCTGGTCATTGACTAATTTGAGGTCTTTAAATGCCATCGTCATTCGCCCTTCGCTGTCTTCTGTGTAGCGAAGAAGCTGAGCTCTAACTGTTCCTTCTACCACATGGTTTGGTCGGAAGTCACCAATGCGCCACATGAGACATAGCTTCCCGTCTCTCATGCCTATGAGTGCAAAGTAGCTAAAACGAATGGTCTGGGCTCTCTTCCGTGCAGTTGCCATTTTAGCCAAGGCTGCTCCAATGATGAAGGTGTTTATGATGCAACTGAGGATGGACTGAAGGATCACCATGAGCACTGCCATGGAGCACTCTTCAGTGACACAACGGTAGCCATATCCAATGGTGGTCTGGGTCTCAAGGGAGAATAGAAATGCTGCTGTGAAAGAATGCACGTTGTCCACACATGGTGTGATGTCTGGATCATTTAACAGGTCTCCGTGATGAAAGGCTATGAGCCAAAAGATGGAGCCAAAAATCAACCAGGAGAGAATATAAGATAAAGAAAATATCACAAACATATGGCGCCATTTGGTGTCCACAAGAGTGGTGAAAATGTCAACCACGTAGCTCCCCCATTCTCCAAAAATGTGCTTGAAGTATACATTACAGCTACCATCTTTGTGGAGCAGACGTCTTCTTGCTCTTCTCTTCTCACCTATCATGTTTTCTGGCGGATACCCTGGGTATTTGGCGTCCACATTCGCACTCCGATAACTGCTGCCGTAGTAGCTCATTCTTGCTTATGCTCTTAGGGCATTCAGGTGAGTTTTGTAGTAGTAATAGTGCTAGGTGTGGTATTATTTGTTAATTTGAGTTTTCAGTTAAAACCTAAAAATTAGAAGAAAGAATATGTAACACACGTTAGCTTTCAGTTTCTATCTTTGTAGCAGTTTACTAAATTCAGAGCAGTTTTATGCCATGTAAAGTAGCGAAGACTTCATTTGAACCATAGAGACATTCAGTATTGATTCCTCATTTGTTTAGAATTCAACTCAGTCATTACAGGAACAAAATATGCAATTAAGGAAAATAACATTTTTGATATGCACAAGGCTTGACTAAAAACTATGATTATCGCAAATGCTGTCTCCCTACATTTTTTTTGACTGGACATAGAAAACATTTGCTTTATTTTTATAGATGCTTTTTCTATGAGAGCGTTTAGAAAGCAAAGTAACCCACAGTATACAAAGGCAAAATATAGTTCAGGTATTTGTCTAACAGCCCTATAAGCTTTCAGATTACCAACATCAAATGATTTTCCTTTAAAAAGGATGCAAAAAAGAGTCTCTACCTTTGTTCATAGTGGAACTTACACAGTGGTTCCTAAAATAAATAATCCCTTACCTGTGGCACCTGTTGCTTCTTCTGTCTTCTGCACAGGTTTTCTTCCTTGCGTATTTCCCAGGACAGAACAAAACTGGCAAGGGGCATCTACTTCTGATTAAACTCCTTTTTCCCTAACTCTACCTTAGTTGTGATTGGAAATAGAAAGTGTTCCTTAACCCCAGAGGAGTTAAAACCACTCCGAGGTAAGCTTTCAGTAAGGTGTAAAGTTGCTTCTGCCTTTGTCTAATAACATTCATCCTTTTTTTTTTTGGACACTGGCATCTCTTCTCTTTCTTTCTAAATAGAAGCCGAAAATTTGCCAAAGTTGCTAATCTCGTTTCCCTCTTAAAGGAAGCATACTACAATACAATCGGGTCCTTTTCTCCAGTTACTCAGTGCTTCTCTGATGTGTTCACAGTCACTGCTATGCAAAATGATTTTTCTCCCTCCAAATTCAGTCTTTAAAAGACCAAAATAGCACACATATATTGTTTGTTTGTTTTTACCAGTTTCAGAATCCAGTTACAGACCAGTGCACTGCCCAGCTTAAGTCTAGAAGTACACATTAAAATTCAAGGTCAAAATTGCCTTTTCTTTTCTTTTCTTTTTCTTTGGTACCAGGGATTGAACTCAGGACCTTGCACTTGCAAGGCAGGTGGCAAAACCACTGAGCTAAATCCCCAGCCCTAAAATTGCCTCTTCTTACTTTTTGTAAAAAAAAGAGAGAAGTAACAACAGCCCTTATAATGATTTGCTGTTTTAGAATATATGTTCTAGATAATCTACCTTTGCGAGAAGGGAGACAGAAAATGAAGGAAGAGACATTATACAAGAGGATCTTGCCTCAGAGAAAATGCAGCATGAATGAATACTGCTCCTGTCCTTGAGATCCCTTGAACCAACTGGGGAAACCAATCCCTGCTGGAAAACGGCAGAAAGAGTAAATGTCCCAGTGAAAAAGAATCATTTTTGTCTATCTCCAGGGATCAGGCCCACTTTACAATAAACTCTTTGTTTAACATATCATTTACAAAGCTAGACTCTGCCCACAGCCAGAAATCCTGCACAGCATGCATGGGCTTCTGTCTGCCCACCTGCCTGCCTGCTGGCTACTTCACCCACCCATCCACCCGATCTAGTCTGAGCAGTTACATCTTTCCTTCACCAGCAGTTCAACTGTGTTTTCAGGGAGACAGTTGTATAGTTTCAGGATATGACCCAGGCCTGCCAAATGCTTACTGGAAATTGCAATGTAAAATATTTTCACAAATTTTGTCCATGACACCCTCTATTCATTGGTCATTGGAAGTTCACTTTAAAAATCAAGGCAAACACCGCTATGGGATTCTCAGTCTGTCTTCTAACTGATCACAGAGGCATGAGAAGGGGGACTTATAATTAATGCACCATATGATTTCTAATGAAAGAACAGATTTAGTGATAGAATAATTTTCTTGTTAAATGCTTCCAACTCAATTCTTTTTACGGAACTGCACATATTGTGTCAGGCTGAGAGTTAGAAAATACAGTTCGTAAATCAGGAGCCACTGTGTGATTCTGATATTTTCTGCTGCCAAAAGAAAAAAGTTTTTATTTGAAATGGCATTCAGTTGGCAACATTGTGAATTCCAGTGGTGGCACCAACTACTATAAACAAGGCATTTTTAAAGAACCTTCTAAAATGTGCCAATCAAGGAATGAATTTTCAATTAAACAAGTTACAAGCAAGCAAAGTTGAGTTTGTAGAAAATTTGTTGCTGAACAATGTAACTGTTTCAGAGATTAAAAGTTAAGAATTATGAGAATTCTACTCAAACTCACATCTTCTGACCACATCTTCTGATGTGGTCCATTAGTATGGTAATTCATTTCAGTTTATCCAGGAATAACCATTCAGACTCTGCTGGGTTCACACAATTTATTGATCTATTCTCTGATTCTCCAACCATGTAAATAATGCATTTTTAGAGATAAATGTCTTTGAGCAAATGTCAGATCATAACCAAACTCATCATATTCTGTTTTACGTGTTTCTTGCTCTACACAATAAGTGAAGAAATTTATGGTGATCCTTTTGACAAAATGGCTAGATAAAAACAGCATTTATGAATGTCAATTTTAACATTTTTTCAACTGATAAACTCAATATTTCACATTTGTATTTTTTAGGATGAAAACTCAGCCTTTAAATTGTCCTAATGCCTTAATCATCTTGCATCCATCAAGTCCATTACAAATATTCACAATCTTCCTACTTTTCTATTTACTTGGTTGCATGTTGCTCTCTAGAAATTGTCAGTGGTTATTATTTCTATTGAATTTAAAACTACTGTTTTTAAATTGAGAATGGAAAGACCATACATAATTACAAAATTGTGGAATACAAAGTCCAAAGGTAAATGCTGAATCAGATAAAGTCTATTTTACTAGGTAATTAATGGCAAAATTCGGGGAAAAATTATGATTCTTTGCATGGATTCTTTTTATAGACTGCAGTAAAGGACAAGGTCTAATCACAGGCTAGTGCCCAGAATGTCATCAAGTTTTGTGTAAAATACAGACTTTTATAAAAGCCCTAAGAGGCACTGTCCGTGACTTACTTCATCCCTTGGGTAGAGTTGAAAGAGAAAAAGTCACTAGGATCAGCCAATCCAATCCTTATCAGCACTTTTTTATATCCTCCCTCCTCTACTAAACTCCCACCTAAAAAGATGGTTCTTGGGCCGGGATTTAGCTCAGTGGTTCCACCGCCTGCCTCGTAAATGGAAGGACCTGAGTTTGATCCCTGGTACCAAAAAAAAAAGATGCTTCTTAATCTACTTTGACTAGTAGAATATGCTTTTAGGCCTCAACTTTCTAGGTCTTTGTACAGGTTCAAGAAAACCCCACTAAGTCAGCACATTTTAAATTTGGCATAAACATTCAACAAAACAAATGAGCAACCCACATACTTGTCACTGTTTCTTGATGCACAAAATTGTCTCTGTCAGTCTTATACATTTTTAAGCATTTTCTCTGCCATTTTTCTCATTTTTTAAAATTTTTAATTTTTATTAGTAAATGTTTGCAGTACATAATGATTATATTCCTTGTCCCGGATTGCTACATGTACATAACACATCTCAATTCTATTTTTCCTCTTTCCATCCACCCACCCTTTAAATTTTTTTTGGACCAGCATTTGATCATTTACTTATTTACTTTGTATGTCCTTGTAAAGTTAATTATCATACATACAGATTAAATTAATGGCCAGCCTATGAGGCCAAAAAAATATAAAACACATAAGACAATTATATTAAATCAAGATCCATTTTTAGATACACTGTCCCTAATGGATTACAGTAACTTTTTCCTCTCTCTCTTGTGACTATTTTTTGGTTTTTATTTTGCACTGTATTTATGTATAGCGTTTCTCATGTAAGAGAAACCATAAAATATTTAAGCTTGTGAGTCTACTTTATTTCACTTAACATTACAGTGTCAAGGTGCAACCGTTTTCCTACGAATAACTGAAGATTATCCTTCTTTATGGCAGAGTAGTACTCCATTGTGTATAAATATTATATTTTCTTTATCCATTCATCTGTTGATGGGTAAATAGGTTGCTACCAAGATGTAGCTATTCTGAATTATGCTGCTATAAACATGGGTATGCATACATCACTGTGCTGTGATGTCTTTAACTCTTTTGGGAAGATACCTAGAAGGAGAATAACTGGGTCAGATGGAATTTTATTTTTTGTTTTTAAGGAATCTCAATACTGATTTGCATAGTTGTTAAACCAGTTTATGCCTCACCAACAAGGAAAAAGTATTCCTTTCTCCCCACAGCCCTTCCCACAATTGTTTCTGTTTTATGGATTCCATTTGTTTCCTATGTTGGGATTCCATCATGTTCCTCAGTCCTCTCTAGATTAATTAGTCACGTCTTGCACTATAGGCACAATCTCTGCTGTTATAGGAGAAATTATTTCTGATTTCATTTTTTCCAGATCCTCTTTTGTTGCCAGTTCAGGGAGTCCAGGTGGTTGAGTATCAGAGTGTTCCATCTCACTTCCCTTTGGTGTTGCTGTAGGTTATCTGGAAGCCTGGTTTTGAGACTTGTTTACATGTCTTCTCATTTTGACGGCGGGGTGGGGGGGTTGCTGTTGGCACCCGTGTGGCTCACCTCCTCTGGGCTGGGAGCAGTGGAATGGTGATGGTGGCCCAGAAGCCCCTTCCTCTGGGCTGGGAGCAGTGGAATGGTGGCCTGGAAGCCCCTACCTCTGGCCTGTTCTGTTGTTTAGCTCACAGTTTGTAGAGGTTTCAGTCCATAATTGGCTGACTCCAGGGCAGGGATGGCAAACAGGCATTACAGAGGAGAAAAAACATGTTGTGCACAAAGTAGAAAAAGCAACAAGGGGCCTTTCCCACAATTGTTATAGATTGATTTCTTGGTGATAGCCATTCTTTCTGGAATGAGATGAAATCTCCCTGTTGTATTAATTTGCATTTCT